ACATTAAAAAAATCAAAATCTTAGACATAAATTCTCCATCTTGCTTCCAGTGTCTTTTGAACTATTTTATATTTGAAGTAGGTCAGTTGAAAAACTAAATTTATCTCAAAGTCCACATTTTGTTGTTATAATAGATCATGTTAGCATTTGAAGAAGAGATAGGGCCATTAATGTAAAACACTTTAAAGGAAATTCTGAATGTTACAAAATGATTTAAGCAGGAAAAAAATGTGATTGAAATACTGATTAGATGTTGATGAGGAGACATGTATCGTATCGCCAGATATTTTTGTCCCGCCAATATCAACTATCAGTGTTGGGTGCATTCCATGGGAAGGTGGGGAAAGTGTAGAATTTTTTTTTGAAAATGAGATAAGAATTCTGACATTTAGGAAAAAAATACATTAACTTTTAACAGCTTTCAAAGCAACACGTTACGATTTCCCATTACCTGTCATAACTAGTACACTCACTGTTTATGTGGGCATCTCAACATTTAGGAGGCATCTCAGGATAGAAACCACAGGTTACAGTGATCACATCGCCTTCCGACGCCCAAGTCCTCACCTCACCACTGTCTCTGCCAGTAAGCCCCACTTTCTTTTCAGCTTCCCAAATTTTCCTTGAACTCCAGCTCCAAGAATAGGCAGAACTGAGGTACTGTCGTAGTGGGCTGAATGCCGACCCCATAAAAAGACTGTCCTGTCCATGTCTTATGCCTGTAACCTGGTGAGTGCGATCTTACTTGGGAAAAGGGTCTTTGCATTTGTGGATCTGAGTTGGGGAGCTCACCCTGGATTATCGGGGTGGGCCCTAAACCCACGACAAGTGTCTTTAGAAGAGAAGGCAGAGGGACATCTGTGACAGAAGAAGAGGCAATGAGGTCATGGAGGCAGACTGTGGACCCACCAGGCCACAAGTCAAGGAATGCCAACAGCCCCCAGAATCTGAAGAGCCGACGGAAGGACACTGCCGCAGAGCTTCAGGTCGGAGGGTAAGCCAGCAAACACCCTGATTTCAGACATCTGGCCTCTGGAACTGGGAGAAAAAATTTCTCTTGTTTTAAGTCACGAAATTGGAAGGGATTTGTTATGGCAGCAACAGAAAAGAATATAATTTTTTGAATCGGTGCCCCTCAAAAGGATAAAGAGGTGTGTGCTGATTTTCAGTGAGTCTCAAGTTGAGAGATACATGAAACTTTTAAAATCCTTTTTAATTTTTTTAATGCCTATTTTTTAGAGAGAGAGACAGAGCTTGAGCGGGGCAGGGGCAGACAGAAAGGGAGACACAGAATCCAAAGCAGGCTCCAGGCTCTGCGCTGCCAGCACAGAGCCTGATGCAGGGCTCGAACCTCTGAACCGCAAGATCATGACCTGAGCTGAAGTCAGATGCTTAACTGACTGAGCCACCCAGGTGCCCCAAAACTTTTAAAACCCTGATTGCTTATTCCAAAGTAAATGGTGAGGGTACCCAGTTGAATCTCAGTACTAGTAAGATTCTAGGAGAACCTAAAAGAATAAGGAAGTTATAAATGGTAATTTTAGTAACAGTGATTGAAATGTTCTCCTGTGTCGAAAACGCATGTGAAGGGAGCCTGCGTGGCTCAGTCAGTTGAGCGTCCAACTCCGGATTTTGGCTCGGGTACGATGCCAGGGTCATGGGATCGAGCCCCTGTGTCAGGCTCTGCACTGAGCCATACAGCCTGCTTAAGATTCTCCTTCTCCCCCTACACCCTGCTCATGCGCTCTCTCAAAAAAGTTTTGTTTTTAATGCGTATGAAAATAAAGTAGAAGTATGAAAGAACAGATATTTACCTAAAATCCAAAAGAACATTCAAGTATACCTGCTGGAATAGGCTTACCTGCCAAGCACAAATAATGAATTTTATGGACCTATGTTTCTTCAGCTTAAAAACTTTATGCATAAAAAAATATTGTTACACTACCATGAACCATTTCTTTTTTAACCTAGATTTAAAAAGCATTAAAAGGCCATTTACAAACATTCTAATTTAGGGTCAACATTACTAATTAACAGGTAAATGCAAATGAAAACCACAATGAGATACCACATTACACCTGTAGAATGGCTAGTATCAAAAAGACAATAATAAAGTTTTGGCGAGGATGTGGAGAAAAGGGAACCCTCCGTGTACTGTTGCTGGGAATGTAAACGGAGGCAGTGACTGTGGAAAACAGTATGGAGATTCCTCCCAAAGTTAAAAAGAGAAATAGGATCGGATCCAGTAATTCCACTACTGGGTATTTACTCAAAGAAAACGAAAACACTAATCAAAGATACATGATGCACCCTACGTTTATTCCGGCATTGTTTATAATAGCCAAGATATGGAAGCATTCTGAGACAAATGGATAGAGAAAGATGTGCTACACACATATACACACACTGGAATATTACTCAGCCATAAAAAGGAATAATCCTGCATGGATAGATGCAAAAGGTACTACGCAAAGTGAAATAAATCATATAGAGAAAAACAAACACCATACGGTTTCACTTTATATGCATCATCTAAAAAACAAACACAAAAGAAACAGACCCATAAATACAGAGATCAAACTGCTGATGGCCAGGCGGGAGTCGGTAAGAAAAAATTCTAATTTAAATATATTTTTACAATGTATATACTTTTTTTATAAATTTTTTTTTAATGATTTATTTCTAGGAGAGAGAGAGACAGCGTGAGCAGGGGAGGGTCAGAGAGAGAGGGAGTCACAGACTGAAACAGGCTCCAGGCTCTGAGCTGGCAGTCAGCACAGAGCCCGACACGGGGCTCGAACCCACGAACCGTGAGATCATGACCTAAGCGAAAGTCGGACGCTTAACCAACTAAGCCACCCAGGCGCCCCTACAATGTATATACTTTAATGGTGAACTTCTTTGCATTCAAAAACCTATATCCTCTTAAATTAAATTTTATACAGTGCAGCAATAAGGATTTTTGGTCCTTGCAAATTAGAGGTGATAAACAACCAAGGGGGAATAAAGCCCCTTAGCAAAATAAGGAAAACGGCTAAAATTTTAACCAAAACTTTACAATGACAAAGTCACTGATGAAAATTAGTTAAGTAAAAGTAAGAGTCAAGTGACAACCTGGCCTCATAAATATATCCCTTTCCTTGATTATCCTGGATGCTGTCGTTCATGCATTTATAAAAGGATATTTGATGGCCCTCAGGGAGAAGCCAAAGTTTTATTTAGTGTGGGTTCCTTCCTAGAACTTACTGCCCAACAGATTAAATTTTTAAAAACCCATATGCTGAGAACTCAGCTTAAACCTGGGGCGCCTGGGTGGCTGTGTCAGTTAAATGTCTGACCCTGGGTTTCAGCTCAGGTCACGATCTCGCGGTGGTTCATGAGTTTGAGCCCCATGTCGGGCTCTGCGCTGACTGCGTGGAGCCTTCCCTGACAGTTGGAGCCTCCTCTACTCTTTCTGTCTCTCAAAATAAACAAACGTAAAAGAAAAACAAACTTAAACTGGAGGTCCACGCTGAACAAGGTATAAGGTAAGCCACACAATTTAGGAACTCTGAAAGTTTGCAATCATTTTTAAAATGGGAAACTCACTGGTATATTATACATTACACTGCATGGAACATGCTCTATTCTCTGAACAAAAATAAACTAATCCGCCACAGAAAGCACTATTTTTCTAAAGAGGTAAGTGACTTGGTCCTATGTTCCCTCTGTGTCCCAGCCCAGGCCAGCTCTCAAATGAACTGAAATTAAAGATTTAATCATGATAAAGCCAGGCGTTTAAACCAATGTGGCGAAGCGAGAGCACAGGGTGTAAACGACTGACCCAAATTCGTGAAAATTTTAAATGAAGCCCATTTTAAAAGTCAACAGGAAACCATGATCTGAGAGAGAGAGCAAGCTTTCTTTCCTGAGAAGCACTTAGAGACTCGCTGGTTTAAATGTAGGCCCTGGCTTCTCCTACTTCCCTTCCCCCAAACAACCTCCAACTGGGGCAAACTCCCAGTCATCAGGGATCCACAGCAGTGCAACTGCAAACTGAAAATAGTCGCTGGTGGACAGCAGGGTGAAAACAGCTGCTCTGGGGAGAAAAAAAGGCAAAAACACAAAACCAATGCCATGGCATTCCCTCCATCCCAACCCTGACCAAGGGGGAGGGGGTGGAAAGGATGAACTGAATATAAGGAAGAACCAAGAATCAAGCTCTTTTGTTCAGATTGGGAAATAAAAGAAAAATCCCCAACTGTTATTTTTGTAAAAGAGAGTTCAAATAACTACAGTTAAGAGGGTCCTATACATTCCCCCGCCACCCCACAAATTTAAAGATCCAATCTTCACAAAGTAACAGAAGAAAAGTCATCAGACAAAAAAAAAATCAGCCACACACTGAAGCCTAGTGTAAGTTGGTAAGAATTTTAAATACGCCAGGGCTTCTACAGTAACAAATGTATTAACTTCCTCGTCCAGCCTTCACTCACACTGGGAAAGAACGCAAAAACAAAGTTGTACTTGTTGTCCAAATAGTAACACCGATCTGTTTCAAGACCAGGGCTCCGACGTTTAAAAGCGCCCTGTTGACTTCTAACGTTACCAATGTTCTTAGACCAAACGCCAAAAACTGTCACCCGCCTGCCCTACTTAAATGTTCATCTGCACCGACCCAGGGCAGGCAGACAGTCACAAAACCCGGGGACAGGGGACGGCTGATGCCACTTGTAGCCGACGAGCAACAGAGCTCCAAGCCCTCCACGATCCTAGCGCTCTTGGGGTGCCTGCAAGGCAGTATGGGGCCAACCCCCACAAGGAACGTGGGACTGCCCTCGCGGCGGGAGGGCCGGGGGCGGCACGCGTTCCGGGCGCCCGATCCGCCAGGCGGAGAGGAGCGACCCTGAAGTCCCCTGCGGGGGATGGGGGGGGCCGCGAGGGTCCCAGCCGCGCAGCCAGGTGGGGGCGTGGGCGGAGGCAGGCGCGCGGGCGGGCGCGGGGGACCCGCAGAGCCTCACCTGCACGCCGGTGTAGTTCTCGAAGAAGAAGAGCACCATGCTCTGATAGACGCAGTAGAGCCGGTCGTCCACCGCCTGGTAGAAGCGGGAGGGCAGGAAGGCGGAGAGCAGGCGCCAGGCCCCCCAGGCCAGCACGTAGGTGGGGGCCGTGCCCAGCAGCACCGCGGCCGGCAGCACGCAGCGCATCGAGTACATGTGGAGCACCAGGGACAGCAGCATCTTCCCGGCTCCGCACGCGGACTGCGCCGCCGGCCGCTCCCCGCCCGGGGCGCCTCCAGGCCGCCCCGCCGCCGTCGGCCCGCGGCCAATCACCGCGCGGGGCCGGGCCCCGCGGCCGCGCCCTCACCTCGCCCGGCCGCCCGCCGCACCTGAGACGCCCAGCCCGCGCCCGCCTCCGCCCCCAGCCGCATGGGCCGCGCCGCCGCGGGGCAACGGGATGCGGCGGCGCTGCGAGGCGCGGCGGCTCAGGAGCGCTTACACCCCATGACCCTGGCCCGTCACCCAGTACCCCTGGCGGGGGCGGGGCTCCGCGGCAACAACACGCCGCCTGATTGGCCTCCGGTTGCCATAGTCCCCCCCAGGGGGCGGGATTCCGTGAAATCAACACGTCCTCTGAGTGGTCAAGGGCGCTGACGGTTGACGCGCAACTGCCCCGCGGACGCGCGGACCGCCCGGCTGTGTGCGCCGCGCATGCTCCGAAGCCCGGCCTCCCTGCAGAAGCGGGAAGGAAGGCGGCGGCGGCCGGGCGCGCGGGGTGAAGGTGGGTGCGGGCCGGAGGAGGGGCCGCGGGCGGTCGTCGGTCCCCTCAGTTGGACTCTGGGCCCCGGGTTGCTTTGAGGGCTCGCCCCGCCTCCAGCTCGCACGCTCTGAGGGCCCCCTGGTCCCCGGGATGCGCCCCTTGATCGAGACGTCCCCTGACTCGGGTGCAGAGGGGACGCGCTGGGCCTGTATCTCGGGCGCTGCAGACAGCGGCCTCCGGTCAGGAGGACTCGTGCATTCATCAAATATCTGTCAGGCTTTGTTTGGGAAGCCAGAGACACGTAACCGGAGCAGTTGGGCCCATCTAAGCTCCGCCCCGGGTCATCTGTCCCCGGCTAGGCTTGGCGAGGTGGCTTCCTTCTCGGGGCGGCGCCCACCGTCCGCCTTCTCCCCAAGGACTCCCTTCCTTCCTTCCGCTGGGGTGGTGCGGACCCAGGCCCCTTCTTCCATCGCACAGCTGGACGGCCTTTCCCGAGGCTCTTCCCGCACTTGGATCAGACAGACCTTCCCAATTCACTGTTGCTCACTCCCCCCTCCCCCCGGCCCCAGTGCCTGGGTGCATACAGGAGCCTCGTTTTCGTGTGCAGTCCTTGACAACTACCAGGACTGTGCACAAAGAATATGTAAAGTACTGACCTACTTTGGTGACCTTCACAAAAACCTGCGGAGGCAAGGCAGTTGTTTTATTGATGTAAAAACCGATCCAGCCAACTTCTGGATCCTTCTAACTGCCCTTTGGCTTCACTAAAAGCGGTTTAATATGTAACCCTTTCCGGGAAGACTTGCGCTGGGAAAGAATGCCAGGTGCTTTAAATGAAAAAGGTTTGTGTTGTTTTCTCTTACTGGAAGCCCATGGGGTAGCTTTATGCAGGGAGGCAGTTTCACGGAAAAGTGTCACCAGGGCCCCGGGCAGTGGCCACTTTCTCTGTACATGATTGACACGTAGTACGATGGGTGGGTAGAGAGTTTGCAAGGCGCGGAGTGTTCGGACGAGTCCATTGCCCACGGGAAGCGGTGCACAGAAGATCGCACAGGGCTTCCCCTCTGGTTCTACGGAAAGTAACGGCAGGTACCGTGCGAAGACCTAGATTTCTTTTTGGAGGGAAAAAGTCATGGGCGTGGATTATGTGCGTAACCACTGCCGCCCCTGCTTCCTTTGATTGAGACCAGTCATCCCTACAATTAGAATAATGTGTGAAGAGATAAAGCAGGCCCAGTGTTCACATTACGATCTGCACGTACCGAGTCGATATTTTCGCGTGAGGTGTGCAAATGCGCTACTTTCCGTGAGTTTCGCCCCAGTTACTGTCGGTCACCGCGTGTAAAGGTCTCTGCCACGTTTTGGCATGGAGACTCTTGAGAGCTCGAGTCGCTCATCAAAACCCGGCGCCTGCCTACCTGGTTACACCCTGCGCTCTTCTCTTCCTACTAACACTGGCAGGTTGTCTTTCCCTTTTGGCCACTCCCCACCCACCCGCCTTCTTCAGCTATAATCAGCCCACACCCTCTGCTTCTGCTGCTTGCACATTTTTTTTTTTTAAATTCCTTGCGATCTAACTTCCTCTTTCACCACTCTAGAAAAAGGGATTTGGGGGGCGCCTGGGGGGCTCAGTGGTTAAGCGTCCAACTTCGGCTCAGGTCATGATCTCCCAGTTCCTGGGTTCAAGCCCCGCGTCAGGCTCTGTCCTGACAGCTCAGCCTGGAGCCTGTTTCAGAGTCTGTCTCCCTCTCTCTCTGACCCTCCCCTGCTCACGCTGTCTCTCTCTCTCACTCTCTTTCTCATAAATAAAACATGAAAAAAGAAAAACAGATTTTTTAGAGAGGCACGGCTAGCCTGGGATGCAGACCACAGTGACCCAAGGCTGGCTCTGTCCCGACCTTCCCGTGCGGAGGTGGAGTGAGGGCTTACACGCGGGACAAGGCGGATGCAAAGAGCATATTCGTACAGGGCAACATGTAGGAAGGGGATTTCATTTAGTCTGGGGGCAAAGAAGGCTTCTCAAACCGTGTTGCCTACGATGAAGCTTGACAGTGGAGTTGGCTAGGCTACAGCTGGAGAGATGAGGAGCCTCCCGCGTAAGAACCGCGTGCGGGGCCTGGGGCGCCTGGCGGCTCCGTCGCTTAAGCCTCGGGCTTCAGCTCAGGTCACGATCCCACTGTTCCTGGGTTCAAGGCTGACAGCAGGCCCTCTGCTGTCAGCACTGAGCTGGCTTGGGTGCCTCTGTCCCTGATTCTTACCTTCTGTCCTCCCCTCCCTCCAAAAACAAAACAACAAAAAAACGTGCAGGGTCCTCAAGCTCCAAAAAACCCGTGTGGAGCATTGGAAGGGGCCACACTTTTAAAAAATTGTTTGGATGCCCCCTAAAAGAATTGTATTTCTCTCACACATTTTTAAGTTAATAGCTAAAATTGTTTTTTTACCATAAGTTTAATTAGTTAAAAAGTAAGTTCTAATGACTTAGGACATTTTATTTCTTTTAATGTTTGTTTATTTAAAGAGTGCACATGCATGTGGGGGAGGGGCACGGGGAGTGGGGGCGTGAGAATCCCAAGCAGGCTCTGAGCCGCCAGCACAGAGCCTGACTCGGGACTCGACCTCATGAACCACAGGATCATGACCTGAACCAAAACCCAGAGTCCAACACTTAACCAACAGGGCCACCCAGGCTCCCTCAACATTTTACAGTGATTACAGAAATCTTCTAAATGGTCTGAGTGGATTATGAATAACATGGTGATTTATTACTCATCATCATTTATTTAAACACTTAAGATTTTTACTAATTAGAATTTTATATTGATCCTTTCTTTTTCTCCTTGAAACATATCTCATTCCATTTCTATCACAGAATTTGACTTTATAGAATATCTTTTTATGATTCAGAGTCTTTTACTGATCTGACTATATCAAGTACCTAAGAGTAAAATTTCCTTCTCGAATGAGCTGTCACCATTGTTAGCATCATACTGTGTGATCGGTGTGTGTCACAAAAACTGATAATTACTGCAAATAAAAGTAAAGTTTCATTGACAATGCGTGCCTTAATGATGCCTTCATTAAAAGAAAGTTTAAATTATCTTTTGGTGTCCTCAAGTTTGTTATGCCTTTCCACCTCCCTGCAGTACAATGTAGTAAGATTTGAGGTGGACCAAGTGGGAGGGGCCCATCATGAAATGCAAGGTGGGTCTGGCCTTCACAGGCAGATCAACTTTAGAAAACTTAAGCATCTGAAAGCCTGGTCCTTTAAAACTTGTCATGAGCACTTCTTTACAGATTCTCAGGGCTACCCATGGAATAGTTTGGAAACCGTTGGAGAAAGTGGGGTGAGGGAAGGAGACAAAGATGGTAGAGGTTGAGTCAGGACAGATAGGCAAGAACCACATGACAGCCGAACTTAGGAGATGTAGAGGATTCTAGACGTAATCCTAAAGAATCTGGAAAGCTACTAAAAGGTTTTAAAGAGGGAAGCGACATTAGATTTTTTAAAAAAGTTCTAGGCCATTTGGAAAGTAGATTAGAAGCAGTTTGGAGATGTGCTAGACTCCTAGCCAGAAATAATGTGGGCTTAGACCTCGTGAGTGACCGTGTATGGAGAACAAGAAGTTATTTCCTCATGTACAGCCTTGTTGGAGGGAAATTTGACCATATCTAGTAAACCCAGACACACCTTTGAATCAATACATCTAATTACATGAACGTCCGTGGAAGAGTGATTACGTGAATCCCAGAGATGACCAAGTAAAAGGCTGTGCCGTAGGTGCAAGGGAGCAAACATCCAAATGAACTGCCCTAGACTCCAAGACACGGGGTGGGAACAGTCCGTTGCTGACCAACATGCAGTTAGTCTCCCATTTAGATAAAAACTAAGACCGTTTATTCCTACGTGCAAATGTCTAGAAACTACTGATGACTGATGAGCTCTGGGGCAGGGAAGTACGCGCAGATGAAGTTCAGCTGGACTTTATTGTTTCAAGTTTTTACAAAGAAATGATTCCGCAAATACGTATCCGCCGCTAGTTGTATATTCTCCACCCCCCCCCCCCCCCCCCCCCCCCCCCCCCTCCAAAGGTAAAGATGGAAAACAGGTCAAGGCCCTGAGGTTGTGACCCTTGTGAGGTGGGGGGTGGGGGGGTGGGCTGGGCTTTACTTATTACATNAATGATTCCGCAAATACGTATCCGCCGCTAGTTGTCCCCCCCCCCCCCCCCCCCCGCCACTCTCCTGGGTTCCAAAGGTAAAGATGGAAAACAGGTCAAGGCCCTGAGGTTGTGACCCTTGTGAGGTGGGGGGTGGGGGGGTGGGCTGGGCTTTACTTATTACATGGGCAAATACAAAGCTAAGAGGTGTGATCCACAAGAGTTAATTGACTGGTGGTGATAAGTGAGAAAGGGAGGAGTGAGCGCTGGCTTCCAAGTTTCAGGCTTGAGTAACCAGGTGGAATTTCAGTTCTGCCTACAGAGGAGTGGAAACAGTTCCGCGAGGCGTGGAACTTAGCTGGTGGTGTGGGAGCCTTAAAAAAAGAAAAGCAGGTCACCAAAACA